CCTCCTCCTCCTTGCCTCCTCCTCCCCCTCCTCCTCCTCCTCCTCTTCCTCCTCTGCCTCGGCGGCCTTTGGCGGCCTTCAGCGGTCCTCGTTGGCTTTCGGCGGTCCTCGGCGGCTTTCGGCGGCCCTGGACGGCTTTCAGCGACGGCGGCGGCGTCGACGACCGATGACGACAAAAATCCGTTCAACCTCGGTCTCCACACCCTTCCAGGGGTCCATCCTGCCAGTTTTTCGAGCTGCGTCTCGCCGTGGCGACGAGAGCCGCCAGAAGCGTCCAAAGAACTTTCGACTGACGACGTCGAACGGCGACGACGCCGACGACGACGGCGACGACGACGACGACGGCGGCGGCGGCGGCGACGTCGGTTGACGACGACGGCGGCGGCGACGCTGGACAACGGCGACTACGACGGCAAACGACGGAAGACGCACGACGACGGAGACGACAACGACAACAACGACGACGACGACCGACCACGACACGGCACACGACGCCCGACGCACGACGCACGACGCACGAAAACGCCGACGCCGACGCCCACGCCGATGCAGACGACGACGACGCCGACGCCGACGACGGCGGCGCCGGCGGCAACGGCGGCGACGACGACGACGACGGCGACGACGACGGCGACGCCCTCGCGCGCCCGCGCGCGCGACGCGCGCGGTGCTTTCCACCGCCTCCCCCTTCAGGGCTGGCATGCCACCGCACCCCCCTTCCCCAGGAAAGCCTTGTCGGGCGTCTCCGGCCGCTCCTGAGAGTCGGCTCTCGGAAGCTCGTGTGCTCTCCGAGGGGCCTCTTGGGGATTCCGCTCGCTTTGCGGGGTGCGCGCGCGGAGCGCGCAAAGTACGGGCGTGGTGGGCGTCCTGGAAGCCTCTTGGGGACCTCCTCGGAGCGTATGTGTGGGGGGCTATGCGCCTCTTAGGGGGCTTCTTGGAGGTCTCTCCAGGCCGCCTCGAGGTCCTCTTGGGGCCTTCCAGGACGCTCTGGGGGACCTCTTGGGCCCTCGGGGGCCGTCTCCGGGCCCCTTTGGGGCATTCGTGGACAGTCGGCAGTCCGTCTGGGCATTTGTGGACAGTCGTGGGGCAATCTTGGGGCCAGCTTGGAGGCCTCCAGGGCATTCGTGGACAGTCGGCAGCCCGGGAACTCGAGGACTTCAAACTCCGTTGAAAACATATTGAAAATCGATGGTTTAAGCCTTTGGAGGCCCTCCTGGAGGTCCTATGGGAGCCCTCCTGGGCGATTTCGTTGGGCTTCTTAGGCTTTCTCGAGGCGTCCTGGGCCACCTTGAGGCTATCTTGGGTGATCTTTGTCGGCAGCGTCTTGGAGGCGATCCTGAATCGTCTCTGGCCCTCTCTAGGAGCCTTCTGAGGCCGCCCGTGTCGCCTCAAGCCGTGTGCCGCAGGACTTCCGCCAAGTTCCGCTGGCGTTCCGCCCGTGGCCCAGGCTAGATTTCGAGGGGCTCCCCCAACCCCCCCAGGAGAATGCGCAACGGGAGCCCCTCCGCAATGTCGGGGGGGAATTGCTTCGGTTTGCTCGGGACATTGGAGGTCCAGGTCGTCGTCCCTCTCTCCCCCTCCTCCTCCTCCTCCTCCTTCGCCTCCTCCTCCTCCTCCTCCTCCTCCTCCTCCTCGTCCTCCTCCTCCTCCTCCTCCTCCTCCTCCTCCTCCTCCTCCTCCTCCTCCCCCTCCCCCCTCCCCTCCTCCTCCTCATCCCCCCTGTCCCACCCCCGTCCGGTGTTTCAATTCGGTTTCGCTGAGGCCTGCATGTTTTACATTCTTCTTCATCCGGGGAATACGTCTTCCAAAAATAGTGGTTGGACTTCGGGTGTCCTAATGCCCCGTTCCAGCCCGTGGCCGCCGTCCCGTTGCACCCAGCCCCCCACGTAGCACTGCAATCGCATCACAATCGCTTTGCATTGCTGAGCAGTGCTGCGCATTGCTTTGCATTGCACCGCGTTGCTTTCCATTGTTTTGCTTGATTGTGTATCGCATTGCATTGGTCTGCATTGGTTGGCATGGCGATGTTTTGCATTGCTGTGTATTGGTTTGCATTGCTTTGTGCTGGAATTCATTGCTGTGCATTTGTTTCATCTCTTTGCATGGCTTCGCATGGCTTTGCATCGCGTTGCGTTGCATTGCTTTGCATTGGGTTGCATTGCTCTGCTCTGAGTTTTGTTGCATTCATTCGCATTGCCTTGCATTGCGATTAATTTGCATGCTTTGCCTTGCTTCGCATTGCTTCAGATTGTCTGGATTGCCTTCTCTGCTTGCCACTGCACAGATTTCACCACATGGATTGCATCACCCAGATTGCACCACATCGATTGCACCAAATAGACTGCACCACAACCTATGCGGTGCGGCGCGATCTATGTGGTGCAACTAATTTCTGTTCGCAGTGAGTTGTCCACTCCACTGCTCGCGCAACCATCCCACCTACCCACCCGCAACTTGGTTTGCAAAATCTCTTAAGACCGTGACAGTGGGTACCAAATTGCACTTGGCAGCGACAGCGACGCCGATGACGACAGCGACAACGATGACGACGCCGACAACGAGTACGACGACACCGACGACGTCTCCAACGACTTCGACGACGCCGACAACGACGACGACGACGACACCGACGACGACGACGATGCCGACGCCGACGACGACGACGACGATGACAACGACAACGACGATGACGACGACGACGACGACGACGACAACGACGACACCGACGACCACGACGACGACGTCAAGCACGCCGACGACGACGACGACGACGACGACGGCGGCGACGACGACGACGCCGACGTCGACGACGAGGACGACGACGACGCCGACGACGACGACGAAGACGACGACGACGTCGCCAACGAAGACGACGACGAGGGAGGAGGGAGGACGACGACGGCGGCAACGACGACAACGACGAGGGAGGAGGGAGGACGGCAACGACGCGAACGACGAAGAAGGAGGAAGGACGGCGACGCCGACGACGACAACGACGAGGGAGGAGAGAAAACGACGACGACAACGACGACGACGACGACGGCGACGAAATAGAAGGGACGACGACGAGACGCCGACACGACGACGACGACGAGGACGACCACGGCGACAACGACGACGGAAACGACCACGACGCCAAAGAGGACGACGACGACGAACACGAGGAAAGACAGAGGACGACGTAGGCGACGACGACGACGACGCGGGAGGAGGGAGGACGGCGACGACGACGACGACGCTGCAAGAGCGCGCGCACACGCTTTTGTTGAAAATCCGTGTTGCGAAACCATGTGTTTTTGTAGGTTTTTATCCTTCCGAAGCCGATGGGTTTTGAAGGATTTCGGCATACGCGCGCGACGACGCGCGCGTCTGTACTTCGTCCCATTGTTTGCAGAGGATGCTCGCGACGGCACACGCGCAAGGGCGTTCGACAGATTTCGACATGCGCGCGCGCGACGCCCGTTTGGTAGCATGTTGTGAAAATCTTGAAAACCGATGGTTGTTCTTAAGATTTCGCAGGAGCTCGCGCGTAAGCTTTTTTAGCACATCAGTGTTGCGAAACTATGTGTTTTTGCATGTTTTTTGGAAACTCGATTGCGAAATCCTTCCCGCACCGAGGGTTTTTGAAGGATTTCGGCATGCGCGCGCGACGACGAGCGCGTGTACGCTTCGTCCCCTTTTTTGGAAGGGATTCGCGAAAAAGTGTTATGTTAGAACAACACACGTCACCGCATAGTGTTTTTCAACAAGGGGACCGCAGGGTGGGGAACCCGGCTTGGCTGGGATGGTATGATCTCGTATTTAGGATGGACGAGTGTGCAGAATATATATATATACACATATATACACATATATATATGTATGAAATCATAGTATCCCAAGGGGAACCGAAAAGTCTGGGGGTGGAGGGGGGTAGAATCTATTAATCTTTTAGAAAGGAGAATATGGGTGGTGCAATCTATGTAGTACAACCTCTGTGGTGCAAAATAAGACAACTCAATGCAACTCAATTCACGACAAAGCAACGCAATGCAAAGCCAATCATTGCACAGCAATTCAATGCAATGCAAAGAGAGGCAAATCAATGCAACGCAATGCAAAGCACTGCAAACGAATGCTAAGCATTGCAAAGCACTGTAAACCGAAGCAGTGCAAAGCACGTCGATGCAAGTAAATGCAAAACAATGCAACCCAACGCAACGCAGTGCAATGGGATCGCAAAGCAAGACAACGCGATGCATCGCAATGCGAAAAATTGTGGAGCAATGCAAAGCAATGCAAAGCAACGCAATGCAACGCAATGCAACGCAATGCAACGCAATGCAACGCAGCGCGGCGACGGGCGCCGACGAGCCAGCCGGACCGCCATTGGGGCCCAGCGGCGACGGCGTCGTCGGGCGGTGACGGGCTTCACCGAGCCAGTTGGACCGATATTGGGGCCCGATTGCCTACGAACACATGCGAAAACCCTCAGTGTAAGCATTGTTTGAAGAATCTACTATATCAATGATGTTGACAGTTACTTATACACAAAGACTACGAGGGACAAAGAAGGGGCAGGAGGAAAGAAACGTTTCGGAACGACTCCTGGACAACGTAGAAGGGAAGCTGTGAAGCCCCTTCGGGCAGTACTGGACCTCTTTGGCGCCCTCTCCAGATTCTGGTCGAGCTTTCTTGGTTACCTCTTCTGGCGTCGTGGGCCAGTCTGCAAGCCTTCGCTCGTCCTGTACGCTTCTTTTCGTCCTCGCGGGCTGTCCTCGAAGTTATTCGCAAACTGTGTCACCATTCTCGCATCGCGCGAAACACTCAGCAGCCAATCTTGGGCAGATCAGTCTGGCTAACAGAATCCATGCAACAAGTGCTGGGCTTTGTCATGCTTTCGGTGATCCGTGTCCTCTCTCAGACCCAGGAGGTTGTCGTGGAACGTCTTGGGCCGTCTCGGAAACCACCTCGACCATCTTGGAAGCGTTGGAGACCACACTCCGCAGCATTCTGCTCAGGCCGTTCTGCCTCCAGCGCTCCCTTTGTCCGATGTCGCTGCGGAGTCAGGCGCAGGCGGCTCTCCCCGAGCAGGCGGCCCCCGCGATGTGGTGCGGCCCGCTCGGGCCGCGCCCGAAAGAGGCCGAGATCCCGTGGCCCGCGCGCCTTGCGCAGATGGCAGGCTCCGAGGCTCAGCACATCGCCCAACCGGTCCCCAGCCCCACTGGGCCATGGAGCCTTGGCGCCACCAGCCCACGCCCAGGTGGGGGTCGGCCCCTGCGAAGCCCCGAGGGAACGGCACAGATCCACACCCGAGGGGGGCAGGTCAGCGATCGGTGCCCGGGGCCATGCCGGTGGGGGCGGAGATCGGTGGAACGATGCTCCGAGGCGGGCGCCGGCTCGCATCCTCCAGCCAACCTGCCGATCTCGCGCGCGCAGCGACGCCACCTGCAGCGCAAGATGTGCGCCCAGCGGCGCGCGCTGGGCCTCCAGGTCGGGGCGGCGGGGCCGACGCAGGCGCAGCCCTCGCGGGGGGCGGGCCCGGAGCCTGGAGGTCTCGCAGAGCCGGGAGTCCCGGAGTCGTGAGAGCAAGGCGAGGTGCGAGTCCCCGGCTCATAGGGTGGAGCCCTTGCCGTCTCGCAACAGCGGCATTGGCAGAAACGTTCAGGAGGCCGCGCGGATCTCTTGAATCGGCGCTTGCCCCCCCTGGCGGCGCCTCCAGCGCCGCCCCTGGCTCGCTCCGAGTGCCAGGGAAGGGAGGGGGGGTTCCAGCGCCGATCCAAGGAGGTATCTGCGCGCACCTCCGAAGGTTTGTGGCCATTTTGTGTTCTTTCTTTCTACAGCAAGCGTTTCCTGCCGCTCGGCCGCGCGGCGCGGCCAGGACGTGCCGTGGTCTGCTGAATGTTCGCCGTCGGCGGGGGCCGAACGCGTGGACTGCTGTCGGTGGCGGAGCGTCCTGGTCCTTTGCAGGCCCACCACAAAGTGTTATCAGGATTTGTCCAGTCCTGTTTTGAGACACGCACCCACCAGTTTTGATGAGATGTTTTTCTGTCGTTCCGGAAACACTACGTTGCAGGCCTGCAGGAATACCATGGCGGCCGGTCTGCTCAGGGACTGTCGCTCCGCCCGCAGTCCGCCCCAGTTTCCCTGCGTCATGCGTTGTGCCAATGGGCGCTCGGCCCTTTGCACGGTTTCTCTCGACGTAAAGCCCCCGTCTCGGGAGGCAGTACTGCAGGGAAGCTGGGCAAAGCGGCTGGGGCCGGACAGCCTGGCCCCCGGCATTTTTCCTAGTGGCCGTGCGCCAGGGAACGGGGTCCAGCGCCGACTGACCGGCGCGGACCTCCTGTGTATGTCTATGATTATCTGCTGAACCTTGGCCCTTGGCGCGCTCGATGTCCATGCTCTCGCGGCCAAGGCGTTGCACATGCCCCCCGTGCGGGCCCCCAACAGGCGGGGCATAATTACCGCCAGCGCTCCAGTTCTGCTGAGAGCGCGGCAGGCCTCACTCGCGCGCATCTTCGAGAGAGGCAAGCTGTCGAGCAGCCCCCAATGCAGTGCCAACTTGCTACTGCAGCTGCTACTCCTGGCATGAATGGGATTGGAATCGAATGGGTGGCCAGGGACGGCGACGGCTGCGGTGGTCGCGACGACGAGGGGGGAGGCGGAGGAGGAGGACGGCGACGACCCGCATGGCCGGCGACGGCAACGAGGGACGTCGAGGAGGAGGAGGAGGAGGAATATAAGGACGACGAGGAGGAGGAGGAGGAGGAGGAGGAGGAGGAGGAGGAGGAGGAGGGGGAGGAGGAGGAGGAGGAGGAGGAGGAGGGATGGCGATTGCTGCGGCGGCGTGGTCCAGACATCCGACGAGAGGTCCTGACCGCTTCCCCGGGCTTTTTTGTTCGTCCCAGAGTCGTGTTTGATGGCCCCGGGTTCTGGCAAAGGGCCTCAGAAGCCGCAGTCTAGCAACGGCGTTCCAGCATCCCACAGGTCGGGAAGCTTGGGCCCCTTGGCCGGCCACAGGATTTGTTGTGTGCAGCCGTCGTGCTTACATGAGGAACGCTGAAATCGGGAATGAAGGGGCTTGGCTGGCCGCCCCGAGCCTCGGCGTCGAAGGGCCGGGGCACCGGAGCCCTCCCCGAGCCCGAAGTGGTCCCTCCCAGCGAGGAAGGCGGCCACGGCGGCGGCGACGACGAGGAGGCGGGGCGGCCCGCAGGCCGAGCTGTGCGCTCGGGGTGCGGCCCACGCCCGGCTGCGCGCCTCGGTCGGGGCCGCGAGGGGCCTGCTGGAGGACGGGAGGGGGGGAGCGCCTCCGGAGGGTGCCCTCCTGTCCGGAGCTGGGGACGTGGCGCACGTGGTCTCCATCTGGGCATCTCTCCTCCACGCCGCGACTGGGAGCGGCCGGCAGGAGCCCGAAGTGGGGCTCCCTCAGGGAGGGCCCTGGGAGCCCGAAATCGGCGAACAGACTAAAAGCGCAATCCAAGGCCTATGGAGCCGACTTTGAACCGAACCCTCCGAAACCGACAGCCAGCAAGCAGCCTAGAAGGGTGCGGCGACGCAGCAACTACGCGACAGCTGACCGAACCGCAGCGACCGAACGCAACCGACCGCAACGCGGCCGAATCCACCAAACAGAGGACGCCCTTGGGACCTTTTTTCTTCACGGCGAGTATAGTGGGCATCCTTGATCACCACCTCTGGGCCCAGATCTCGTTGGATGAGACCTCCCGGCCTGGCTGCCGTGTCTCTGTCCACTGTGACCTGCGGACCCAAACATATTAAGCTGTGAAGGCGGCAGTGGATCTTTTTCACTTCGCAATCACAGTTCCTGATAATAGTTATACTACCTGTGTACCTCTTTGCAGACATCACGTGTCCATTAACGCTCTGTTCCATTTCCATTTCCGTCCGATTCGACCCCGACGTTCTGGCGACCCGATGCAGCCCGATGCTTGCAGGGGCGTTGTTGTGCATCATGGCGCGCCTGATCCGATTCGATTCGTTCCGATTCCCCGACTCGATCCTGACTGATGTTGTGCGATGTTTGACCGGGGCCATCCTGAGCATTGGCATGGGGCACATACGCTCGGCTGCCCGAGGCCACTTGGCTCATGTACCATCATCGCGGGGCCCAGGATGGCCTGGCCAGGCATGGTGGTGCAGGTGCCCTCTGCGGGGGATTCTGGGTGGGGCAGAAAGACACTGCTACCGCTACCGCTTACCTTTGAGTCGTTTTCGCACCTCTCCTTCCCCCCGCCCGCCGCATCGCCGATGCATCGGCCATGTGGGTGCAACCGGGAGCGCGATGTTCTTTGTCCTGACTTCGCCAGTGTATCGGCGTTGCATCGGTGATGCGGCGCGAGCCCGGCCACATTCGTGAGGCCCCCATTCTCAAGGAGAGGGTGGTGGTGCACAGGTCGCCATTGACTGCCAACATATTTTATGTACCGCCACTGTAGATGGTGGCGCGAGGGGCCAGCCTCCTGAGAAGGCGGGGGTCCTCTTGAAAGGAAGGGCCCTGCTCAGAAGGGCTCCGAGACGCCTTCTCAGAGACCCAGAGGTCTTTGAGACGGCCCCTGCGTTCTCAGAATCCCCCCCGTCTCCTCCGAAGGCCGCATCCCTCCTCGCCGCCACCCTCCTGCGCGCCGCCAGCCAGGGCATGGGAGTTGCCCGAGGCCACCCCCAGGGGCGCAAAGATTGCCGCGCATCGCGCAGCCACGCAGGGCGCGTCCAAAGATGCGTGACCTCTGCTGCAGCGCACCCGAAGCCCTCGCGACTGCACCAGCGCCATCCAGTGGAGGCCCTGGGCTTGCCGGGTATGTGAGTCTGATTCAAGGTTTGCTTCGCAACCACGCGTCGCATCGCGCAGCAGCCCACCAGCGGCCCGCCCGTGTGCATGCCTCTGTGGCGCCGCCCTCCTCCACCTCTCGAGGAGAGGCGGAGCGCGCTGGAGACCGAGGCTCGCCGCCGCCGCGCCGCCGCCCTCCCTCCGTTTGCCGGGCGCGGCGGCGAAGGCGCAGCTCGGCGCCCCGGAAACCACGGCACCAGAGTTGGCGTCGTGCACCAGACCAGGGGCAACGTTTGGGGGGATCGGCTCAGGGGGGAACGCATCGACCCCAGTCACCCATTGATCGCCGATGGGGGCTAGATGGCCCGCCCCGCCCAGCAACGTGCGGATTCGCCATCGTTGGCCTAAGAATCGCCGATCTATCGGCGATGTATCGCCGATTTCAGCTCGACGTTCCTCTCCCCCCGAGCTGGTTAGCTGGTTCCCCCCGATCATTGCCCCTCGCAAGAGGGGGATGTGAGTGGGGTGGCCTTCTGGGAAGGCGCGAGGGCTTCTCTGAAGCCCTCTCGATCTCTCAGAAGTCTTCGTAGAACCTTCCTAGCGGTTATGAGGCGGTCCCTGTCGTCTAAGAAGCCCTCCGCCTTCTGAGAAGCCCGCGGATCCTGGATTTCTTGGGGACGCTTATTGAGAAACCACGCGCCGTCGGACGTCTGGGTAAGTGACAGAGGGTCTGGAAGGTTTTCGGAGGTGTTCAGTAACTGGGTGGTGGTTACCATCAGCTGTGCCTCATCGACAGCGTTCCGGGATTGCCCGAATCACTCCGAACGGCCGTTGCAGGCCCGAGTGATGGCCCGAAGCTTGAGGACGCAGAGAGTTCTGAGAATGGAGAGGCAGGCGGGCCCAGAATGAGGATAGGTCGCTCAAGAGCGTTCCAGACCTGGGCGTTCCGTAACGCTTTGGAGCAGCCGCGGCGCCCGGCACATTCTCCAGACCCGCCGGCCACCAGATCCCGGAGAGTCCTCATCCGACTGTGTCTTCACGTCGCTCTCGTTCCAGCGCGACAGACCAGGCGGGGCTCACGCAGGGGGGGGTCAGCGCCAACAGGGGTCCGCCGATCCCCCCCGGGTGGCCCGGGTCTGGGAGCCACGTGGGGCCGGGTGTCCTCTCCCATCCGCCCAGAAAGGCCGGGGTGGTGAGCCGCTTCGCGGCTGGCCCTGGGTGTGCGGCGTGGCCCTGCAGGCTGCCCCGGGCTGGCGCTGACCCGGGCCAGCGACCCGCGGGTTGGCGTGGGCCCGGGCCAGCGCGTCCGCGGACCAGGGCTCATTCTGCAAGTTCCAGCCGCAGAGGACGGAGAGTGGAGGATGCCTCGACCCGCGGCTGCAGTGCTCCTGGGGTGCTCCGATGTCCTGCCGTCGCTGCTCGGCTGTCGGGGGGGGTGCGGAATCCCGTGTCAGGATGTCGGGAGGGGGACGGAATTACAGAGTATCAAGGACACGCGAGTCGTCGTTCGAACTTTGCATATCATTCCTTCGTTATTTGTCGACAATTTTGATTCAAAGTGGTTCTCGCCATTCCGCCGACCCCCATATGGAGTCAGGGCTTGCGACGATCGTAAAAGTTATCGGGTGGCCTTCGGCCCAACCCGCTACCGTGCCTGGGTCTGTGGGTCAAGAGCATATTGGATGAATCTGAAGGTCTCTTGGGATGCCTCTCAGGGGCCTCTTGGAGGGCTCTTGATTTGGAAGCTGCTGGGGCCTCTTGGGGGCCACTTGGGGGCTTATTGGGGGCCTCTTGGAAGCCTCTTGGGGGCGTCTCGGGGGCCTCTGAGGGTCTCTTGGGGCCATCTTGGGGGGCAAGTCTCGAAATACCCGTTCGTATTCCCCTCCTTGGGCTCTCTCGGGGTCATCTGGGGGGTTCTCTTGGGCCGTCTTGGGGTCCCCTGGGGCCGTCTCAGGGCCCTCGTGGGGGCCTCATCGGCCGTTTAGTGATGATCTGGGGGGTCCCTTGGGCAGCCTGAGGAGTTGGGGACTGGTATAGTTGTCTCTTGGGGACTTCTGTGGAGGTCCTCTTGGAACTTTTTTGGGGTGCCTTGGGGGCCTTGTGGGCCAGCGTGAAGCCATCTTGGGTCGTCATGGTGCTACTCTGGGCCGTTTCGGCGCTCTCTTCGACTGTCTTGCGGCTCTGTCTGGGCCCTCCTAGAGCTTAATGGAGGCTCTGGAGGGACCCGGGGTTCGTTGGCGAGTTCATGCCCCCTCCCCGCCTCCAACGACATATTTTTAACCCCAGGCAAGGGGAAAAGGGGGAGGGGGACAGTCAAATGTCTCACACGCCTTTTCACCCTGGGCAAGCGGGTGGGGGTCGGCGGATACATGAGTTGTTTGTCGGCAAACTTGATTTTCTTTGACTGTAAGATGCTGATGGGGCCGTCCAGCCAGCGTGTTCTCCGAGATGGGGCCAAGAGATCGGCCACAGTTTTGGTTCCTCCTTTTCGCAGCTGTGTCACTCGAACAAGAACGATCGGCAGGGGCACAAACTCTTGGAGCTCCGTGCGTGTGTATTGGAGAGGCGCTGGACCCCCTCGGCGGTGCCTCAGGCGCCGCCCCCGGCGCGCTCCGCGCGCCAGGGAGGGGGGCCAATCGGTGATGCACGATCTCCGCGCAGACCTCCATCAGTGTAGGCCCATGCAGAAGTTCTTCGGGTGACGATCTTCTGGCTCGACCGCGGGGACGCGAAGGTAGTCGCGCTTCGCACCTCACGTCCTGGGCCAGAGCGATTGCCCTTCTGGAGTGGGGTAGCGCGAAGGCGCGGAGATGATCGCGCGTCGCGCATTGTTGGGCGCGATGCGCGAAGCGAGGCGACCCAGAGTTTTCACGACGGCGGCGGGTGTCGGGGTTTCGACCGTGCGCCCATGCGCTGGTTTGTGCCGCGCGCCTCTCCGCTTGGAGGCACGCCTGCACAGCTCGGGCCTCGTAGCCGGATGTTCTCCTACGCGTTGGCAGTGACACCTTGTTTGTGAGACAGTTGGCACGAGGGTTGAGGCATGTGAAGACCAAACCTAGCTTCGGAGGGGCATCCTTATGATCGTCGTGTCTGGGCCCTCCGCCTTTGAGCGTTTGCGCTCTGCTTGGGGCACATCGATGGGGCCTTCCGGCGAAGGGACTCGTGTTCTTGGCACGCGTTTTTGTGGCCAGGCTTCGACTGCTGCTTACATTTCGGCGTCCAATCCTTTTCGACCTAATCGTTCAAATGGCTACCAGGCCCCACACGTAATTCCAACATGCGGCCCAGTCGCTTACATGGACTTTGCACAGTGGCCTGTTCTGTGGCCCTGGGGCCTAGAGCAGGCGTTTGGACTCCCAATGCTCGGCTACGCGGCGCAGCCAGGGGGAAGCCGATCACTGGGCATTCTGAGCGGTGAGTCTCCCAGCGCCCTGCGGGGTACGGCAGGATCGCGCCGCGTCGACGCGTCGCGGTTGAACGCCGCCAGCGGCCCAGAAGGGTCCGGTGCCGACAGATCCGCGCTATCGGGAAGTCACGATCGTTCGAGGTTGAAGGATCTTGACATGATGTCAAATAACCAGCTCGCAAGTCGTCACGACATGGACCTGCCGCGCGTTGCATCTTCCGGGGGCTTTTCTGTTTTATACATGACGATTCGGGTTCGGCGCGCATTCAGCGCGGATCCGTAGCGGTTTCGGCCCCGATTTGGCACGCGACATTGGTCCGACTTGGATGCGGGTCGGATTCGACGCGGATAGCGACGCGATGGGACGGACAATGCCCCACCTAAGACGCAACATAAAACCAGACACCACAGAAAGATCACCATGTTGTTGCCGTCGGGCCGTCCTTGCCGAGTCCCCGTCGCACGAAAACGTGTTTGTGGGGTTGTGCAATTTTCAGAGGAGAGTTCCCAAAACAGTGTTTGCACTAGAAGGCTCTTGCATGTATAGAGTAACCCTCGGAGGCAATTCAATCCCCCTTCATCCGATGGAGCGATCCCGCATCTGGCAACCTGGAAGCGTTGCTTTTGTTTGCACCAGGCGCCCCCCCCCGTCCTCCTCCTCCAGAGGGACCCCACTAGGAATTCAATGGGATCCGAGTAGGACTCCAATATGACGCCAATGTGGATCCAAATGGGTTCCACTATGACTCGCATGATTTCCCACGAGGACCTCAATGGTTTCCCGATTGTGGTCCCAAATGGATCCTAGTAGGGTCCCGAATTAAGTCCAACACAATTCTGGTAACCGTCAGCTGAATGCCACGAGGGTCTGAACGGGATCTTGGTAGGATAGGACATGAATGGACAGGATCATGATAATGTAGGATAGGGTAGGGTAGCATGGGATGCCAATGCGATCGTGATAGTTTTCATGTTGTCTTAGTTCTACTCTTGCAAATCTTACTCCGGGCTCGACAGAAATCATTATTTCCGACGTAGTTGCAGAGATAACGTGTGGTGCGGTCCAGGGCGATATTTTGGGGTGTGTTATTCTGGACCATCGCCACATGGTGTTAATGTTATCAAAGACGCCTACGGCGAATCACCGCCGTCCACTGCGTTTTGGGATACGCTTATGTGTCCACACGTTTGGGCAACATTTGGGAACGCTACTGGAACATGCGTTCCCCCAACCGTGGGAAACACGTGCGGGCAGGAAGAGGATGATGAGGAGAGGTAAGAAAAAGGAGGAGGAGGAGGAGAAGGAGGAGGAGGAGGAGGGGAAGGAGATAGACGAGGAGGTCTGGTCGGCTTGGGGCACTCCTGGGGCTTCCTGGGGCCTCTTTGGGGCCTCCTTGAGCCTCTTTGACGCCTTAGGGGGCTTCTTGGGAGCCTCTTTTGCCGTCGTAGGCCATTTTTGGGCCTTCTCACGCCGTCGGAAGGCGTCTTGGGCCTCTTGGGCTCTTGGGTCCTTCTTGGGGCTCTTCAGGGCCGTCTTGAAGGTCATCTTGGCTTGGGCCGTCTTGGCGCCTTCTTGGGGCCGTCTTGGAGGCTTTTTGGGTGGTTCTGGAGCCATTTTGGAAGCTTCTTGAGCAATCTTAGGGCGATCTTTGGGGCCTCTTGGGCCGTCTTGGACCGTCGGAAACCCGACATGAAACAAATGCCGAAATCCTTCGAACACCTTGGGCACATCAATGAAATGTGCCTCTTCGGGTCTTTTTTGGAGGCCATTTCGGAGGCCTTTTGGGCCGTCTTGGAGGCCTCTGGGACTGTCTTGGGCCGTCTTGGAGGCTTCTTCGGCGAGCTTGGAGGCATCTTGGACTTTCTTGGGCCGTCTTAGCGGCCATGTTGGACCCTCTTGCGCGAGCTTGGGGTTATCTTAGCCGTCTTGGAGGCCATCGTGGCCCATCTTGGAGCCATCAGCAGCATGAAAAACCTTGGCAACCACCACTTGAGCAGTTTTCTGGTTGGCTGGCGCGCGGGGCCGAACCAAAAACCTTTGAGAAGTCTAGCACGCCAGGCACCCTGCTGTGATGAATCAACAGGGGGCGGCGGATCCAATGGTCTTCGGCCCAACCCGCCACCAATCCTAGGTTGTTGGTCAGAGGACACGGATGTTGTTCGGAATGTGTTGGATTCGTGTGCTTCATAACATGTGGTTATCAAGGCATCACCTGTTGAGTATTATGTTCTGCGTGAGCTTAGCGGTTCCAAGTAAGTGCCACGTAATTCATGACGTTTGTATGCCTCTGGGCACAGCGCCTGTATGCCTCAAGTGGTATCAAGCAAGTACTACGGGAGTCATACCGTGGCTACTTGAGACGCGATGTCGTGTTCCCCCTCTCGGGGCCTCGTTGCACCAAATGGATATCATCAGACCCCGATATACCGTCCAATATTCCTTTTCGGGGCCCCCTCCTTGGTTAGGGGGAAGGGTCTCTTGTAAGTTGCAAGTTCGCTGGGATCTCCTGGGGAGCGTTCGGACGCGTCCGGGAGGCCCTTTTGACAGCTCTGGAGGGCCGTTCGGGGCCCTCCTCGCTCTTCTCTTGGGCGTCTTCTGGGTCCCTTGGGCCCCCAGGGGGAATCCAAGAGACCCGAAGGCTCGGATGTCCGTTTCGCGTTTCCCCTAGCCGCTCTTGAGGCCGTCTGGGGCCTTTCTTTGGCAGTCTTGGTGCGCTCTCGGGCCCTTTCGGGCCTCTCTTGGGGCCTTTTGGGGCCGTGTTGGGGCGGTTTGTGGGGCTTCGGGAGACGTCTTGGAGCGTCGGAAACTGTTTTAAAGCGATAACCCCACAAAACGAAACATCGCAAATCCTGAGGAGAATCAATGGGTTTTGCTTATCGGGGTCCTCAGGCTCTTGGAGGCCTCTTGGGACGCCTTCCACCTTTTTCTGCCGACTGGAGGCCATCTTGGGCGTCTTCGACCGATTACTCTGCGATTCGGGGCTCTCGTAGATCGTCTTGGGAGCCTCCTGGGGCCCTCTTGGAGTCCTGGCCTGTAGTGAGGCCCCCTTGAGGCCGAAAGAGTCACGCGACAAGCCGCGACGCGACCCAGGGGCCACGCGGGGAGCCCCGGGTCATGTCGGGCTTGCGCCCTTAAGAAAAGGTATCCTCAGGATTGAGGATGAAGGCTCCAGGGGATCAAACAAGGGACCCAAGGACATTCCAGCTCGTACCTCAGCTGCACGGAGGCCGATGATAGGGTTTGCGAAGCAAGCCTGACGGGATGCTGAGGAGGGTGGTGATGATGTTGTATGTTCTATAGCATGTCACAAGGTCCCCAGTAGGAACCCAACAGGATCCGAACGTGTTCCCAGCAGGATTCAAACATGATTCCAAGAGGACCGCACTAGGATCGCAGTACAAACCCAACAACATCCCCCACTAGGATCGCAAGATGATCCCAATGATATGATACCAGGATTCCGACCAGATTCCATCAGGAGCTCAGTAGGATCCCAATATGACTGTTGCAGGCTGCTTACGCCACACCTATATGTACATATACATGTATTGTATCACATGGGTTGCACCACGTATATTGCAACACAGATAGGGCACATCGAGAACATGCAACGACGAATTGGTTGGGGTCCGTGGGGGTAGGATTTGTTCGGTGATTCGATGTGTCTTGTGGGCGGCCACAGCGATTGGGTTCCAGATGTACGCGGACCAGCGGGAGTTCCAGACCGGTAGTAATCCCCAGCCACAGGTGGTTCCCGCGCTCTCATTCTGTCGGAGATTCGCGCGAGCCAGGCGTGACCTCTTTTCCTTGTCCGTCTGCAAGTAATCGGCAGCTCGGGGAGCGGACGTGCCAGAGCCGAGGGGCGGACAGGAGCGTGGGCGACGGTCCCGGGCGTTTCCAAGGAGACCCCACGGCCTCCAGAGCAACTCTTACGCGGCCTAGAGGGCTCCAGGGGTTCTAGAATTGTGCTTGGAGGCGCCTTTGGCCAGGGCTACCTCTGGTAGCACTCGGGAATTCGGCGGAGGACGTGAGATGTTTGAATTGAGGTTGTGGGGAAACGGAGGCAGCAGTGCAATCTGATCAGTGGCGGCCAGAGGCATCGGAGAGAGCGAGGCACGATCAAACACGCCGCGCCCAGATCTGGAATGTCAGCCAGTCTCAGGCCCGTCTTTTGCTGCCATCTGCTAGGGGCGTGCGAGGGTGGTCGAGCGGGGCTACGTAGAAGGAGGAGTGCCGATATGTCGTGCTGCTGGGCATCGTTTTGGGGCGGCGACTCGATCTGTCTCTCTCATGAGGGAGTACGCTTGCGGAGCAGCTGTCCACTTTCTCACCAGCGGAGCAGTTACTCTTCTTCTCTTTCTTCACCAACGTGTCCAGTGCCATCTCCTGATTGAAGAGAGGGAACGCTGTGGGGCCCTCCTGTCTCGCAATTTGTACATTCTCATCATCATCGTCATCATCATCAGCATCATCACTATCATCTGCATCATAAGCATCATCACCATCCTCATTCATATCGTGATGATCATCATGATTCGCATCATCGTTATCATCATCATCGTCGTCGCTTGCATCCAAATCCATTATCATCATCATCATCGTTATCAACATCATCATCGTCTGCATCACAATCAGCATCATCACCATCATCGTAATCCCATTACCCTTCGTTTAAGCGGTTACGACCAGAGCTTGTTGTTTTACAAGCAGTGCCAATCCCTCATATTGTAATTCACCCTTTGATTATTCATGAACTTCTTTGTTTCCTTCTCATCGTTCTCCCAGCTCTTCTGCATTCCTCTCATGGGAACGCCCCACACCTAGAATCATTTTTACAAGGGTTTTCCTTGTGGTGGCTTTACAGTAAGGTTTTAAGTGTGGGGGGATCTGCTGCTGTGGCGGCACTTTGAGCTCAGGAAAGATAGAGAGGAAAACCGGAAAACATGACAACACGTAAACCACAAGTTTTTTAACATGGGGAATTCGGAATAAGCTAGGACTACGTGTATTTGTCGTTTTTTTATGGTGCAGACGCTCCACAATGAAAATCCTTTTGTAGCAGCCTTTGCAACGGGATTCCTTGTGTGGCGACCGTAAACAAGGGTTTCAAGTGAGGGCGATCTGCAGTGGCCCCCTCACTAGGAATCCTCTTGTGCGACAGCCATTACAAAAGGAATCCTTTTGTGGCGGCTTTACAAACTGGCTTCCATTGCGGGGGGATCTGCAGCGACGGCACCTTGAACCCAGGAAAGCTAGAGAGGAAACCAAGACAACAGGAACATCATGAAACAGCCTGCGCTTTCACATGGCACCATAAGAAAAAGCTGAGAAGAGCTGTGACTGTCGGTACCTTTATGGTGCAGACGTTCTGGACTGAAAAGCCTTTTGCAGCAGCCGCTACAACAGGATAAGTGTGGGGGACCTGCAGTTGCCTCCGCACGTAGGATCCTTGTGTAACAGCCTTTACACAAGAATTCCCTTTGTGGCGGCCTTACGACAGGGTTTTCATTATGGGGGGATATGCGGTGGCGGCACCTTGAGCCCAGGAGAGCTAGAGAGGAAAACATGAAAAAAAACGAGAAACACAATAACCAACTTGTGTTTACACATGGGAAACAGGAAAAAGCTACGAAGAACTGTGATGGTGCGCCGTGGGGCTGCGGAAGCTTACAAGCAAAACAAGACAAACATGAAATGCATCAACAAAGACATATGCTCCCACATGGAAAAGTAGGAGAAACAACAAGAGACAATGTTGTGACTGTCGCCATTTTTGACGGTAAGATCAATACGGGGAAGCTGGAAACATATGCGGGCCGGGCCCGGTTGTGTTGCATGCTCCAGGCTTCCGGTTGTGTGTTTCATGCAGTTGCACAGAACAGAACAGTGGTTGTGAATAGCATGGCGTTGAATCAAAAGCATAGCATGGCACATTATGGCGTGGCATTTCGTAGTCAAGCACCGCATATCCTAGAATTATTTATCCGGCACCGAATTTGAAATGGGCTAGTGAAACCCCTCTGTGTAACCATCCGCTTGTGGCTTGTTTTTTATTCCAAGGGCCCCGCGCGCGCCCGCCAAAGCCTTGCAAGCATCTTTGGGTACCCGTCCGCTTGTGTTTCCTCGTTTGGCCCAGGTAGGCCGCCCAAATTGCTTGCGCCGACGGCGTTTTCTTGCGCGGCGGCGGCCAGGCTTTTTTATTATTTTGCAGTGTCTCGCGCGGGGGGGGGGGATCGCGCGGTACATTGCGATGCTTGTGTTTTTGTTATGGCCCACGGCGTTGCGTTTTTTTTTGTTTGTGTCGCGCGGTTGCCACCGTGGCTGCCCCAGAGTCTTTGTGTTTTTGGTACTAGGCGCGCCTTTGTGTTTGTTCTTGCGGGAACGGCGACGGGCCCGCGCGGTTACGCCAAAGCATTGTGTTTTCGTTCGCGGGTAGAAGATTGTGTTTGCCAATTTGGCCTTGCATGGTTCTCCGCTACGCCGAAATCTTAATGTTTTTTTCCCGCCGGGCGAGCTGATGTGTTCCTTCAATTCGGCCATACAGCGGCCCCACGTGGCGACCCCAACCACTTTGTCATTTATTCGCGAGGGCCGATGTCGCGGGCCGCATGGATCATGGCCCATGCCCCATGAGGCATGCCCCTTGCCCAATGCGGCATGCCGCGTGTTGAGTGTCCAATGGGGCGTGCCCCATGCCCTGTTCACCATGGGGCCTGCCCCATGCCCCATGGGGCGCGCTCCATACCCAATGACTCATCCCATGCCGCCCCATGAGGCTTGCCTGCCCCCCACGCCTCGTGATCCTTATGCAGCGTACCCCAGGCCGCTTGCCGCATTCGTGCGTACGTAGGGAATGTCCCACGGCCCCACGGGCATGTCCCATTCCCCATGCCCCCCCCCCGCCCTCCCTGGGACCTCCGTACCCCGTGCCACATGGGGAATGGCCCAAGCCCCGTGGCGCCACGGGGCATGCCTCATACCCCAAGCGGCGTGCCCCATGCACAAGAGTGTGCCGACGCAATGACGATTGTGTGTGTGTGTGTTTCTACATATGCATCTGTCATGTGGTCGGCCCTTGCAACACCCAGGTAATGAATTTTCGCATTTGGGTTTCACAATTGGGTTTTCGATACGCAATGACGATTGTGTGTGTTTTTACATTTCCACCGTTCGTGTGGTCGGCTCTTACACCCAGATGATGAATTTTTACATTGGGGTTTCACGGTTCGTGGTTAGATTTAGAATCGCGTCGATGTATACAAAAACGTATGCAACGCAGCGGGATCACCCAGGTGGGTGGGTCACCCGGTTGGGTTGGTCACCCGGGTGGGTGGGTCACCAGTGTTTGCCGACGCAATGACGATTGTGTGTGTTTTAACATATGCATCGTTCATGTGGCCGGCTTTTACACCCAGATGATGGATTTTTGCATTTGGTTTTCACAAGTCGTTTTTCGATGTAGAATCGCGGCGCTGTAAACGAGCACGTATACAACGCAGCGAACACACCCAGGTGGGTGGGTCTTCGGGTGGGTGGGTCACCCGGGTGGCTGGATCACCCGAGCGGGTGGGTCACCAGTGTGTGCCAGCGCAATGACAAGTGTTTGTGTTTTTTACAGGTTCATCGGTCATGTGGTCGGTTCTTACACCCAGAGAATGAATTTTTACGTTGGGTTTCACAATTCGTTGTTCGACGTAAAATCGCGGCGCTGTATAAGAAAAGCGCATACAACGCAACGAAATCACCCAGGCGGGTGGGTCACCCGGGTGGGTGGGTCACCCGAGTGGGTGGGTCACCCGAGTGGGTGGGTCTGCAGTGTGTGTGCCGACGAAATGACGACTGTGGGGGTTATTACATATGCATCCTTCAGGTGTTCGGCTCTTGCACCCAGAGATTGTTTTTCCCATTGGGTTTTCACAATTCGCTTCTCGATCTAGAATCGCTGCGCTGTATACGAAAACGTATACAATGCAGCGAAATCACCCAGGTGGGTGGGTCACCTTGGCGGATGGGTCTCCCGAGTGGGTAGGTCACCCGAGCGGGTGGGTCACTAGTGTGTGCCGACGCAATGACGATTGTGTGTGTTTGTACATATGCATCGTTCATGTGGTCGGCTCTTACACCCAGGGGGTGCATTTTTACATTGGATGTTCACAGTTCGTTTTTCGACGTAGAATCGCGGCCCCGTGTGCGAGAACGTATACAACGCAGCGACATTACCCAGGTGGGTGTGTCCCCGGGTGGGTGGGTCACCCGAGTGGGTGGGTCACCCGAGTGGCTGGGTTACCAGTGCTTGCCGACGCAATGACGATTGTGTGTGTGTTCTTACACATGCATCGTTCATGTGGTCGGCTTTCACACAGAAAATGCGTTTTTACATGGGGTCTTCACAACTCGTTTCTCGACTTACAATCGCGGCGCTGTATACGACAACGTGTACAACGCAGCGAAATCACCCAGGTGGGTGTGTCCCCCGGGCGGGGGAGTCACCCGAGTGGGTCGGTCTTCCGGGTGGGTGGGTTCACCAGTGTGTGCCGACGCAAAGATGAGAGTTATATATATATATATGTATATATATATATATATATATATATATATCGCGGGGGGGGCAGACCTGGTGCCCGAAAGCAGCTGCCTGGACCCTCCATGTGTTTTTTGCAAGGTTTCGGCGTCCCGGGCCTCGGAGGCCGCATCGATTGCCCCGGACATTTTCCAGATCCTCGGCGCGAGTTCCAAGACCATTCCGCAGAGGGCTCCAACAGTTTCCAGGCCAGCCCAAGAGGTCTCCAAGACGGCTCCAGGTGCAGGGTTTCGGTGCCTCGGGCCTCCGAGGTCGCAGCGGTGGGCCCAGACATCTTGAAGGCTCACGCACATAGCCCCAGGTCTATTTCCCAGATGCCTCCAGCAGGCTCCAGGCTAGCCTGGAAGGTCCCCAAGATGGCTGGAGGAGCGGGTGCCGGCCTTCATTTGCTTTGTATGTTTTGCAAGGTTTCCGCGCCCTGGGCCTCGGAGCCCGCCGCCATGGGCTCAGACATTTCGAAACCTTCGAGAGCTTCATGACCATTCCTCGGTGGGCTCCAACAGGCCCCAGGCCAGCCCAAGAGGTCTCCAAGGCGGCTTTAGGAACGAATGCGCACTTTCATTTTTCATGTGTTTTTGCAA